GGCCAGGCTCCCCTACCAGTGGTTACCTGCCTTCATGCTGTGAGGGATTGTGGCTTTGGACTCTGATCAAGAACTTTCACTTTTTAACACCCTGAAACCCTGTCTCTGATAAGCCTGAGGAAGGAAGAGCCATAAAACAAGGACAGAAGACAGGACAGGCTGGGTCCTGATGTCTTCAGGATGGAGAGATACAAGTTTAAGCAGACCAGGCCTGGAAGACCTCAGCAGGCTTGGGGCAGTCTAGTCAAACTCCGCGTGACCAGCTGGGCCAGCCTGGCCCTGAGGTCAACAGCCTCCCTTGACAATCCCATTCCAAGGCCTCCTGCAGAAAGTCTTCCCACCCACCACTTCCCCCAGTGACATTGCCTGTCCCATTCCCATCTATGCATTCACTAGACACTGATTAATCATTTGCTTGCTGTCAACCCCTGTGCGGGCCCCTGGTGACACACACAGCTTTGCCCTCCTTGTGCTTCTGACTGATTCAGATGGTTGCCCAGGGAGGCTGGGCATCTGTGTTTTTGACATCCTTTGTAGGGGACAGGGAGATGGTTCAATCAGTGAAGTGTTTCCTATGCATGAACAAAGAACTGAGTTCAAATGCCTAGAACACAGGTGAAAAGCTAGTGCACTCATTCACACTTGTAATGGCAGCGTTGGGGAAGTGGAGACAGGGATTCCCAGGGCTTGCTGGCCAGACAGCTTAGTCAGTTGGTGAGCTCCGAGTTCAGTGAGTGATCCCACCTTTTAAAATGTGCACACCAATAAAGGAAGACACCCAGCATCCACCTCTGGCCTCAACAGACACACTATGCATACGCCCTTTGGTCTTGGGGACATTGTGCCACCCAGCACTGCATTCAGTGGGCTGTCCAGACGTTCTGAGGATCTGGCCTGCTTCTAGAAGACCCCTTTGTCCAGAAACCTGCAGCTTCTACTACTTGCTACCTGTGCATCCTTGTAAAATACCAGAGATCTAGAAGGCTCAGCATTCCCCTGAATAACCAGAAATAAGAACAGGGCCTCCTGGCTACCAGGAGTGGCTGGGCTAGCACATCAGAGCCCCTAGCAAGTGCCTGAGAAATGTTGGCTTCCGATTATGTCATGGTAGCACTCTGCCGGGCAGACACACCTCCCAAGCGGATTTCGCTAACCCCCACTCCTGGAGCCTATTTCAGAAGTGACTCTGAACACGTGTTAGACTTCTTGGTGCTCTGTACCACCCTCACCCAACCCCTCCCTGCCCGCACCAGCACACGCTGCCTGTTGACCCAAACCGCGTAAGACACAACATTCACTTTAGCTAACCATAGTGACCAAAGTTACCACTACACTCCTGCCGGCAGCCGTGGGCAAGACGAAGAACTTTCCAGACTAAGGCTCCGCGGGCAGAGGCGGGCACTGGGCAGACCTGCCAATTGGGTACTAGGTACTTCCTCCCCTGAAAGCTGCTGAACAAAAAACGAAGAGCACGTGGCACCCATGGTAGTCCAGGGCTGCCCGGAGGGTGGCTGACAAGTGCAACATGGACTCTGGAGCCTGCTTCCCCCTTGTCTGTGACTACCCCGCTGGGATCTTCTGCCACCAGGCTCGCGTGGCTTGTTCCTAGGGGGACGAGGTTGTCTGATCTGTAGCGATCGCTCAGGGTGCGTCAGAGCAGGAGCGCGCCAGGGGTCCCGGGGACAGTGCACCCGAACCTGGAGAGGGTCACTCACCTCGGCGGCCCGCCGCTTGGAGGTGCCGTGGCAGCTGCAGGTCGCCAGCGGAGGCGGTGGCACGGCCCCAGACTCCTCCTCTCTTTGCGCCCCGCCCGCCGGTGGGGCCGGACCTGGCCGGGTCGTGACCACCCGCCCGCTCTCCGCCGCTTATCCAGTAGTGCCACCCCTCCCGCCCTCAATCGCGGAGCTCAAGGCTCTCGGTCCCCGCCCTGCACTGCAAGAGGAGGAAACTACCAGCCACCGTCCTCCTCCGTTCCCTAGGGAGTCTCAGAGCCGGTCTTGTCACTTCCTGGTCTGCCCACAGTAAAGTGAGCAGAACCAACCACCACGCCCCCACCCCGACCAGGAGAAAGGAGTGGGAAGACAGACACTCACGCCTCCCCCACTTGAAGAACACTTCAAGTCCCTGTGTAGTTTATGATCAACGTCATGGGTGTAGTTTAGGTAGCAAACTAGGGCTGCCCAGGTGGGCAGAGCCCAAGGTGACAAGTGGGGCTGGGTTTCTTCCCTCGTCTGCAGTGAAAGCAGGAACAACAGCAAATGTGCACAGGTTTACAACCGGAACGAAGTGTGGGGGTGGCTGTAGTTGGGTCACATTTCCATCCCTTACTTCCCTTAGAGATGCCTTTTGACCTGTCCTCAGAAGTCTGCAGGTTTCAAGCCCCATTGGTTTTGTGTTGGTTGGTCATGGCTCCCTGGGAACTACTGGCTAAGCTAGAATCCTACACACACCTCTGAGTTCCAAGATGTCACCTTTCCCTGTCAAAGGCGTCCCCAGCCCTGGGACACTGCCTAATGCTACTCTCCCAACACACAATGCCCCCAGCTTTGTTGTACGGCAACACACCAGGGCACAACACAGTGTTGTTGTTTCAGACTTACGCTTTGGCCTCACCTACTGATGGCCCTGGTCGGGGAGGAGGGCATTAACGTCCTGCTCAGTTTATGGAAGTGAGAGTGCGGCTTTCCTAGACATTCCTAGAGGTCAGAAGAAGGATTATCCCTTAATTCCTGATAAGGGGCTTTGATTTTTGGGCAGGCAGGTGAGGGACCTGTAGAGGTATTGTATATGGGGGGAGGGGTGCATGCACAAATGTGCTTGTACATGTGTGAGGGCCACAGATTAAAGTAAGGTCTTTTCCTCAATTGCTTCTCCACTTTATTTTGTGAACAGTGTCCCTTGAAGAACCTGGAGCTCTCGGCTAGGCTAGACAAACTGGGAAGCCCCCCCGCCCCCCCCCCCCCCCCCCCCCCAGTGCTGGGATCACAAGCATGCTGTGTTGACTTTTTATACATGGGTGCTGATGACCAGAGTTTAGATCCTCAGACTTGCTTAACAACACTTTACCAATGGAGCCCCATTGTTTTGGAAGCCAGTGACTCCCTAAGGATCTCAGACTGGCCTTGAATTTGCAGCAACTTTCCAGTCACAGCACTAATTACAAGTGTGAGGCACCAAGCCTCCATTGAAGTCACTTTGAGGAATTCAGAGAATCCTGTTTTCCAGGAAACCCCTGGGTGTCAGGGAGATAAGATTTAGAGAGGTTGGGAAGTACAGCTGTCTGGGCCTCAAGTATGGCCCTAGACCAGCTGCTTAACGGTATCAAGGGAGACCCAGTAAGACCGCTCAGTGGGTAAATGCAGTTCCTGTTAACCCGAGTTCAGTCTGCGACCTACAGAGGGAAGAGAGCCGGCTGCTAAAAGTTGTCCTCTGACCTCCATATGTGTACTCTTCAAGCTTGTGTACACACACAATAAATTTTTTTTTTTCCTTAAAGGTGCAGTGGGATAAAGAAGCCGAATTCTGTGCTCTCTGTGGAGGGAATGCTGCTCTTAGAGGGGTTTCCCTGCTTTCTCAGGAGCCCAGAGCTCCCAAGAGCATCTTGAACTTTCTCTTGGCTAGAGGGTCCCTTCTTTGTTCTGCAATCCTTTCCCCAGCTCTCTATTCTGTCTGCCCCAGGGCCTAGAACCTTCTCAAATTCCATTCAAGGGTCCCAAGGTCTAAACATGCCCAGCAAACACATCTCGGAGCCCCTATGGCTATTCCTAAAGGTTCTCTATCCATTCAGATTATAGCACTGGCAAGGTGTCACACAGTGTTGCGGAGGGTTAGGCGAAGTGCCAAGGCTGGCCCCTGTTCTGGGCAGACAAGAACCAGTGTCTGGAGATCGCTGATGGCCCTGGGCACCCTGCCTGCACACAGTGCTGGATCTGGAAAATCTGTCTAGGGAAGTTAAGGAGATGACTCAGTCCGTAAAGTACTTGCTTTGCAAGCATGAGGACCTGAGTCTGATCCCTAAGAATTTACATTTTAAAAAAAAGCAAGCATAATGGCACAAATTCGTAATGTTAGCTCTAGGAGACAGATTCTGGGCTCACAAGCCAGCCTACTTGGTAAGCTCTAGGCCAGTGCAGTGAGAGAGGCATTGCCTCAGAAAACAAGGTAGATGGCATCCTGTGGGGCAACACCTGAGGCTGACCTCATGCCTCCACATGTAAGCACATACATGTACAAACATCATCACACATTCTACTCCTATATAAAATAAAACAAACAACCCAAGGCTTTAGAGTAGACTCTAGCCTACTCCCTCCTTTACCACGAGGACAAGAACACAGAGTCATGTTCCTGACAATGCTGTTCTTATTATTACTATTACTCTGTTGGTTAGCTTTTCACCGTGAGCCACCCAAGTTACTTTCGGGTCAAGCTCACTCCATAAGCAAACAACACACTGTCAGTTCCTTTCTTCTTGCCTGTAATCCAGAAGGAAATGGGTGGGCTGGGGAGATAGCTGGGTGAATTAGTAAAGTTTTTGATATGCAAGTATGAGGACCAGAATTTGATTCCCAAAACTCCCCCAGGCACACGAACAAAGCCAGATCTAGAGGTGCACCCAGCTCCAGAGAAACAGAGACCCATAATCCTTGGGGCTCTCTGACCAGTTAAATCTAGTGATCTTCAGGCCAAGAGACTCTCTCTCAAAAAAGTTAGGCATACAACACTTGAGGTTGACAGCTCTTGTATACACACACACACACACACACACACACACACACACACACACACACACACCAGGCGTGAATCCACACATGCACACAAATAAAGGGAAAGAGGGTGTGTACTTGCTTGGAGGAAGCCTATCTAGATGGGCTTCTGAGGTACCTGAGAAAGGAGCCGTAGCAGCTGGGCTGAGTCCTTGCTGGGAGAGTTGGTTAGGATACTTACTCTGTTCTTCTGCCATGCCCTGCCTCCTCCCTGGCCCACAGACCCCAGCTCACCAGGTCTAGAGAAGGTTGCATTGCCCTCCTTCTCCAATGAGGTGATGGTGGAGCAAGCAGCCTGCTGTCCGTGGACCTTGGCAGCCATGTCTTTGTTCTTCTGAAGCTGGGTCCCCCAGGCTGGGTGGTTGGAGCTCACCACACCGCTTGAGCAGTGGAGAACTGTAGAAACCAAGCTCCAGGCAAGCAGGTCCCAGCCCCGCCCAGGACCTGGTGGGCTGTGGAGGGTGCTGGTCAATGGCCTCAGGTCATCTGCAACTACCCGGAGTTCAAAGGTGGACAGAAAGCCTCTAGACTGTAGGTTGTGACTCCCCCTGCCCTGCTGTTCTCTGCTTCCTGGGACTTGGCCCTGCAAAAGGAGGGGAGAGAAGGGACGTGACATTTGAGCTGAACTGGTAACTGCTACTTTGAGAACTCTGAGAAATGAATAGATCAGAGTTGGATGTGGAGGCGTGTGCCTTTAATCCTAGCCCTCAGAGACTGGAGGCAGGTGGATTGCTGTGAGTTCAAGGCCAGTCTGGTCTACACCGGGAGACCTTGTCAAAATAAAACAAACAAAAAAGAATAGACCAGGCCAATGAGAAAACTCAGGTGAGTGCCATCAATCCTGGCAACTAGAGTTCCATCTGGGACCCGCATGGTGGAAGGAAAGAACCGACCCTGTCCTCTGACTTCCACACATGTACCCCCACACATGTACCCCCACACATGTACCCCCACACATGTACACAATAAGTAAATAAAGGTAATGCAATATTAATGCAATAAAATTTAAAGACAAAAGAGTAGATCAAGCCTATCTTCAGATAACAGAGCGATACACTATTATAAAGCGAGATGTGGCACACTTGAGATTTGAACCAGGTTCCTCTGAACCCAGGATCACCTTTGCTCCTCCTTCCCAGGTGGAAGGGCTCCAGCAGTCAGTGGCCTCCTCGCCTTGGGTGACTCCTTTAGCTCAAGGTCTGAAGTGTTGAGAGTGAGGCCCTCAGGGTGGTGCACACTGACTGGCTGGAAGGAGATAATGCTCTCCACAGGCAACTCACCACAGGCCCCACCCTGCTTAGGGAGATCTCAGCAACTGTCCCCAGTCTCTTAACAAGGTGGCAGCTCACGCTTCAACTCACCTACCCCACCCCCATTTCCTATCCCTGCACCCCTTCCCCAACCTGCCTTGGTGAAAGCTACTTGGACAAGGCTCCACCCTGTGACAGCCTGGGGGACCTTAAAGGATCTATAACTTACCTCCAGGCAAGAATGAAGATATTCTAAAGAAACTGGACTCCTAGAAATTGAAATTTCCCCGGGAATCTTATACAGGGAAAGGAAAAAGTCTGAAGCCTGGTGGCCTTTGGGGAAACTGGTTTCCTAGAAAGAGATGTCCCACAGATCTGGCACCACGTCAGACCCCCTTGGCAGGAGAGTCAAAGGCCAGACAACCACGATAAGCAGGCACACTTGCCCAGGACTACCTAGCTATGAATACCTCTTGCCCGCTGTTTAACCTAAACTGCATGTCAGGACCTGGAAGAGGGACTTGAAGTGTCACTGGACCTCTTTGTTTGTTCCTCTTTCCAATGTTCCTGCATTGAATAAAGCGCCTTTGTCTGCTGTGCTGTCTGACAGGCTTTGCCTGAGGAGATGCAACACACCACATCTACTCATCCCATATCAGGAGCCCACCACAGACCAAAGTACAGACAATCCCGAAGCTCAGCTTGGTGAACCAATGAATTTTATTTGGCTAAAGTCTTAGAGACACTGTTCTGTTGCTGTGAAGAAACACCATGACTAAGGCAATTCTTATAAAAGACAGCATTTGATTGGGGGCTTGCTTACAGTTTCAGAGGTTTAGTTCATTATCTTGGCAAGGAGCGTGGTGGTAGGCAGATGCTGGAGCTGTAGCTAAGAGTCCTACATCCTGATCTGCAGGGAGAGAGAGAAAACTGGGAATGTGTGTGTGTGTGTGTGTGTGTGGGGAGAGAGAGAGAGAGAGAGAGAGAGAGAGAGAGAGAGAGAGAGAGAGAGCGCACTAGCAAGCTGGCCTGGCTTTGGAAACCTCAAAACCCACCCCCAGCAACATACTTTCTCCAACTAGGCTACACCTCCTAATCCTTCTAAGCCTATCAAAGAGATCCACTCCCTGGTGATTAAGTATTCAAATGTATGAGCCTATGAAGACCTCTCTTATTCAAACCTGCACAGGTTACTTACAGGAATATGAATGAGGGGTTACATAGAGCAGCGGAAATGATCCAGATACAGCTGCATTACCAAAGTCCACTGTACAGTAAAGCTGGAAACCTGAAACACACTGCAGAGCCTGTGGACTGCTCTACAGGTTGGAGATGTTCTTTTCTCTTTCTTTCTTTTTTTTTTTTATTAATTTTATTGAGCTCTACATTTTTCTCTGCTCCCCTCCCTGCCTCTCCTTCCCCTCCTACCCTCTCACATGGTCCCTATGCTCCCAATTTATTCAGGAGATCTTTTCTTTTTCTACTTCCCATGTAGATGAGATCCATGTATGTCTCTCTTAGGGTCCTCATTGTTGTCTAGGTTCTCTGGGATTGTGATTTATAGACTGTTTTTTCTTTGCTTTATGTCTAAAAGCCATATGAGTGAGTACATATGATATCTGTTTTTCTGGGTCTGGGTTACTTCACTCAATATGATGTTTTCTAGATACATCCATTTGCCTGCAAATTTCAAGATGTCATTATTTTTTCTGTTGTGTAGTACTCCATTGTGTAAATGTACCACATTTTCCTTATCTGTTCTTCTGCCAAGGGGCATTTAGGTTGTTTCCAGGTTCTGGCTATGACAAACAATGCTACTATGAACATAGTTGAGCACATGTCCTTGTGGTACGATTGAGCATCCTTTGGGTATATACACAAGGTGGTATTGCTGGGTCTTAAAATAGGTTGCTTCCTAATTTTCTGAGAAATCGCCATACTGATATCCAAAGGGGCTGTACCAGCTTGCACTCCAACCAGCAATGCAGAAGTGTTCGCTTTTCCCCACATCTTCTCCAGCATAAGTTATCATCAGTGTTTTGATCTTGGCCATTCTTACAGGTATAAGATGGAATCTCAGAGTTGTTTGATTTGCATTTCTCTGATGACTAAGGATGTTGAGCATTTTCTTAAGTGTCTTTTAGCCATTTTAGATTCCTTTGTTAAGAGTTCTTTGTTTAGGTCTGTACTCCATATTCTTTTTACTGTATTATTTCTTATTTTGATGACCTATTTCTTGAGTTCTTCGTATATTTTGGAGATCAGACCTCTGTCTGATGTGGGGTTAGTGAAGATCTTTTTCCATTCTGTAGGCTGCTGTTTTGTCTTGTTGACTACGTCCTTTGCTTTACAGAAGCTTTTCAGTTTCAGGGGGTTCCATTTATTAATTGTTTCTTTCAGTGTATGTGCTACTGGGGTTTTATTTAGGAAATGGTTTCCTATGCCAACGTGTTCAAGTGTACTTCCCACTTTCGTTTCTATGAGGTTCAGGCTTTATGTTGAGGTCTTTGATCCATTTGGACTTGAGTTTTGTGCATGGTGATAGATATGGGTCTATTTTCATTCTTCTACATGTTGATATCCAGTTATGCCAGCACCATTTGTTAAATGTGCTTTCTTTTTTTCCATTTGGTATTTTTTGCTTCTTTGTCAAAAATAAGATGTTCATAGGTGGTGTGTGGATTAATATCCAGGTCTTTGAGTTGGTTCCATGGGGCCTCTTGTCTGTTCTTATGCCAATACCAGGCTGTTTTCAGTACTGTAGCTCTGTAGTACAGTTTGAAGCCAGGGATTGTGATGCCTCCAGAAGTTTTTTTATTGCCCAGGATTGTTTTGGCTATCCTGGATTTTTTGCTTTTCCATATGAAGTTAAGTACCATTCTTTTGAGGTCTGTGAAGAATTTTGATGGGCTTTTCTTGGGCATTACATTGAATCTGTAGATGGCTTTTGGTAAGATTGCCATTTTTACTATGTTAATTCTATCTACCCAAGAGCATGGGAGATCTTTCAACTTTCTGAAGTCTTCTTCAATTTCTTTCTTCAAAGATTTAAAGTTCTTGTCATTACAGGTCTTCCACTTGTTTGGTCAGAGTTACATCGAGATATTTTATGTTATTTGTGGCTATTGTGAAGGGTATTGATTCTCTGATTTCTTCCCCGCCCCTTTTATCATCTGTGTACAGGAGGAATACTGATTTTTTTAAAGTTAATCTTGCATCCTGCTTCATTGCTGAAAGTGTTTATGAGTTGTAGAAGTTTCTTGGTAGATTTTTTTGGGATCGCTTATGTAAACTATCAGCAGCAGCAAATAGCCAGAGTTTAACTTTTTCTTTTCCAATTTGTATCCCCTTGATCTCCCTTTGTTGTCTTATTGCTCTAGCTAGGACATCAAGAACTATATTAAATAGATATGAAGAGAGTGGACAACCTTGTCTTGTTTCTGATTTCAGTGGGATCGCTGTTTCTCTTCGTTTAGTTTGATGCTGGCTGTTGACTTGCTGTATATTGCCTTTATTATGTTTAGGTATGTTCCTTGTATCCCTGCTTTCTCCATGACATTTATCATGAAGGGATGTTGTATTTTATTGAAGGCTTGTTCAGCAACTAATGAGATGATCGTGTGGTTTTTATTTTTCAGTTTGTTTTTATGGTGGATTGCTGCATTGACAGATTATTGTATGTTGACCTTCTCTGCTTCTCTGGTATGTAGCCGACTTGATCATGGTGGGTAATTTTTCTGATATGTTCTTGGATTCGATTTGTCAGTATTTTATTGAGTATTTTCATGTCAATGTTCATGAGTGCCATTGGTCTGTAATTCTCTTTTTTAGTAATTTTCTTAGTAATTCCAGCTTCTTTATGTAGGCATTTAGTACCATGAACTTTCCTCTTGACACTACTTTCATTGTGTTTCATAAATTTAGGTATGTTGTGTGGACATTTTCATTAAATTTTAAGACGTCTTTAATTTCTTCCCTGACCCATTGATGATTCAAGTGAGCATTGTTTAATTTTCATGTGTTTGTGGGCTTTTCTGGAATTAGTGTTGCTGTTGATTTCTAATTTTAGGCCATGGTGATCTGATAAGATACAAGGGGTTATTCCAATTTTTTTGTATCTGTTGATGTTTGTTTTGTTACCTAGTATGTGATCAATTTTTGAGAAGGTTCCATGAGGTGCTGAGAAGAAGGTATATTCTTTTATCTTTGGATGGAATGTTCTATAGATGTCTGTTAATTCCATTTGAGTTATAACATCTGTTAGTTCCCTTATTTCTCTGTTAATTTTTTGTCTGATTGACCTGTCCAGTGGTGAGAGGGGAATGTTGGAGTCTCCCACTATTAGTGTGTGGTGTTTAATGTATGATTTAAGCTTTAGAAATCTTTCTTTTACATATGAGGGTGCCCTTGTATTCAGGGATATTCAATATTGAGATTTTCTCTTGATGGATTTTTTTCTGTGACTAATATGAAATGCCCTTCTTTGTATCTTTTGATTGATTTTGGTTTGAAGTCTATTTTGTTAGATATTAGGATAGCTACACCAGCTTGTTTCTTAGGGTCATTTGATTGGAAATTTTCCCGACCCTTTACTCTGAGGCGATGTCTGTCATTGAGGTTGAGGTGTGTTTCTTCTATGCAGCAGAAAGATAGATTCTGTTTTCGTATCCAATCTGTTAGCCAGTGTCTTTTATTTGATTCCATTTATATTAAGAGATATTAATTATCAGTGATTGCTATCTGCTGTTATTTTAGTTTTCATTGTTGGTGATGTTATTTTGTGTTTTTCCCCTTCTTTGTGTTTGCTGCTGTGATATCATCTATTGTCTGTGTTTTTGTTGATGTGGTCAATTTCCTTGGGTTGGAGTTTTCCTTCTAGTACTTGCTTTGTTCTTCTATGGTGATTGAAAGTTTTGCTGAGTATAGTAGTCTGGGCTGGCAACTATGGTCTCTTAATGTCTTCATAAGGCTTGACTATTGTTTCTA